AAACCAGAGGTGAAGGAGGTGAAAGAGGACGACGCTTTCTATTCAAAGAAGTACGTCTGAAAAATCTCTGGTTGATTTCAGAAATCAATAGAAACAGAAGAAAAAAACTGAAACTTTTAGTTCAGAGGTCATGGATTAGCGGACTGCAGTCCGGATCCAACTTCTGGCTAATCCAGACCCAACCTGATTTAAAACATTTATGAAGTACCGCATATTGTCTGACGACAGTGTCTTATTTCACTTGCTCCTCTTCTCCTGTTATTACGGTAAAGCCCTGGGGAGCGTCCGGCTCCAGGCTGCACGTGATCCAAATGAGCCAATGAGCTGTCAGTCTGGGTTGCTGCTGCTGCTACTTTTAGACACAGCAGGCAAACCTGTGGCAAGCCGGGCGATGGGAAAGAAGGAGAAGACCATGAGAAAAAGAGAGCAGAGAAAGTGTGGACTGCTGGAAGAACTGCGGTGAACTGGTGAAAGAAAAGTGAAATGGCGTGCTCAAAGATGACCCTGCACATTTAGAGGATGTTTGGCTCAACCTGCTGCTGTGAAGCAGGATTCTCCACCATGAACAGAATCAACAATAAATCTGGATCCAGGCTCAAAATGAGCTCCTTGATCTGTGCTTGAGAATGGCTTAGTCTCCGGTTAAACCCAGGTTTAAAGCCTTGCAGGGCAGCCTAAAGCCCACTGCCAACATTAAGACAGAAAAAAGAAGAAAATAACAAACGCTCAGTTCAGGGGTTTGAGAAAGTGTGTGAATCAGGAAATTATCTATAAACCAAACTGAACGATTGTTGTTCTATACTTAAAAAAACACTTTAGATTTTTAAATAGAAAAAAATGTTTTTTTAAATTTTATTTAAAAAGTAATTTAATTCATAAAAACGTCATTTTATTTCAGTGTTCAATTCTGTTTAAAGTAAAAGATAATTAGAAATGTCTCCAGACCTTTACTGGTTGATTTCCTTTATTCGGACCATGCTGATTTTTAATCGGTTTAGATGAAAGTGACCCCAAATAAAAAAAAAAACATTTTATGGTAATTTAATATAAATTTTTGTAAAACTTCTCTGGACGCTTGGGTCAGTTCCTGTTTTCAGGGGGATATCGGATCTTATCAGGAGGATGTTTGTTTAAGTAGGCATTAAGTTGATCTGTTTAAAGGAACATAGAGAAGCTGCAAACCAGAAGGGGAACACATTTCTATTCGAGCAGGATGTCATGTTTTGTTTTTCCCCACTGTCGATCTATCATTTCTCTCCTGTCCTCATCAGGTGTAAATTATTCTACAAGAAGGAGTCGGAGTTCAAAGAGAAAGGAGTGGGAACGCTCCACCTCAAACACACTGCTGAGGGGAAGACTCAGATGATCGTCAGAGCCGACACCAATCTGGGTAAAAACACTAGAAATCTGACTTTCCTCAGCCTGTCAGCGAAACATGTTTCAGATGTTTAAATGGGCCACCTTAGGAAGATCGAGTCACAGATTCAGATCAAATAGTAAAAGTCCAACTAAACACATTTATTTACACTAAAGGAGTTCAAGTGTTTTTCTCTTAACTTTCACTGAGGCTTAAAATCTCATTAAAACCCCAAATTCAGTGACCAATATTTTAATTTAAGGCTAATCATGCAATAAACGGCTGTTTAAGTGGATTTCCTCTGGTCAGCGCATTCAGAGCCACCGCTCATTCAGATGAGCTACATTCCTGCTGTTAGAGCGTCTCACCTGGGCTTCCAGAACCTTCACACAACCGCAGATGAAGGAGCTCCCAGCGCTGGAATTACTCAGCCAGTCTCTACGGGCGAATTGCTTTATTTGATGATCGTCCTCAGTCACCACAGTTACTTCAGTCACTGTGAAAAATAAAACATAAAATAATTAGAATACAAAACATAAACTTACTATACAAATAAAAGAAATTGCACCTCACTGCTTTCACTGGGGATCATTAAGTGTTGATTGTTTAACGACAAACATCTTGACTGTTCAAGTCATTCATTGGTACAATGATTCTACCAGCTTTTATAGGGCCTGCCCTCATTAGCTACGGCACCCTGTGAGGGACAAAAAACCTTAAACATTACAAGATACAAATACCAATAAACAAAGCAAATCTAAAACCACAAACAATGCTAATCAAAACAAACGTCCATAAACTATCTGCAATATTTAGAAAATTCACTTCCAGTAATTTAAATTAGTCTACAAAAAATAAATTAGGCAATTAATTTTAAATAGCTCAGTAAGATACTCTATAGAAGATGCTGTGTATATATGCTATATAGTACAGCAACATTTGTTTCTATAGTTTCTAATAGATTAAATTTAGTTTTTATTGGTTTTGAGTTATATTTAATCTGCAAATATAAATGATAGAAATTTCCCAAACTGAAATATTTTTTTGTGTATCTTTTTTTTTTTTTTCCATTTCTCTTGTTAATTTACTGGATTAAATTCTTTAAATTATTGGCTCTGATAAGTCCATCATTTTTGAAAGAGGAGCTGTTCAGTGGCGGCCACCAGGTGGCGCCTTCTAATGAGTGTAGGACTGAGATCCCTGTCCAACTTAAAGTGCTCTAGTTTCACCTCATTCAACACTGAAAGATTGAATGTTTGATTCAGGGTTTAAAAGTTTGGACAGATTTTTCTTCATAAATGTGGTTTGATCTTTAAATCAGACCCGGGTGTTTATTAAAGCCCCCCCCCCCCCCCATTAAAGGGAGTCTGACTTCTCTCAGGGACTCAGGATAATTATTGCTGAATCTCATTCCTCATGATCGAGCTGCTGAGGAGGCAAATGAAAGCAAACATTTTTCCAGGTTTGTTCTAGAAACAGGTTTTGTCTCGCTGCTGATTCACAGCTGTGGTCAAATGGCTCCACCTGCTGCTCAAACAGAGGAATTGCACAGCAGAACTTTTATGAAATCCAAAAAGTAAAACTGCTGGGAGGTTTTAATCGATTAATACAGAATTTTTTTTGTGAGCTTTGGTTACTTTTATTATCCTAAATGTCAGATTTTATTTTTGATAAATTAAAAGAAATTTCTGTTTTGTCGTGCTTAGGAAACATCCTGCTGAACATCATCGTCCCGCCTGCTATGCCCTGCTCACGGGTTGGGAAGAACAACGTGATGGTGGTCTGCGTCCCAAACCCGCCGTTTGACGACAAGAACCTGAGCACCCCCGTCCCCCTCCTGATCAGAGTGAAAACCTCCGAGGATGCAGACGAGCTCCATAAGACCCTGGAGGAGAAGAAAGGCTGAGCCCCCTGCTATCGGAACCCACCTGCACCGCCCTCCCTGAGCTTTTAACAGGCCCCGCCCACTCATCCTCCCACTGTCGTACCCACTCATCCCCGTAGAGCTGTTCGGTCATCATGCTGTGAAATGTTATTGTTCAAATCAGAAGCAGGTCGTTGTGTGACTTTATTCCCCTCTGGTTCCACGCTGCTGTCCCAGTTCTGTTTTAATCCGGACGTCACAGGACCGAAGCGTGAACCCAGACGAGTTGCTTTGTTTGGGAGGGGGGGGGGGGCTCTAATCTAAGGGCCAGTCAATTTGGTTTTACAAATTAAACACCTGCAGTCACAGTTAGATTTTTTTTTTTTCTATGAATATTTTAAGGAGCGTTTAGAGTGAAACTGCTGAGTGAATGTTCTGGAAACTATTTATTACGTCTGCAGGATTTTTACTCTGAGAGAAGCTCGACTGAATTGGTGTGGGAGAGTGAAACGGACCACTTTTACTTTGTTGTCCTGTTAACAAACTGTGGCTTTCCAAGTGTCCTTTGTTCGGCCTTCAGGATGAGACCGTCATCGTCTGACAACATTTGTAAAGAATAAAAGGAAATAACAATCCTGGCTGATCAGCTGTGATTATCTGCTTTGGTTCTGAATGTTTTTCTACCTGCTTTAAATCCAGACACTTAGAAACACAGCAGTTCTAAATAGAAGTGGTTTTTTTTTTTACAAAGTCTTCCATAACATTTATTTACAAGTATGCAAATTATGCTCCAAAATCATCGACTCCTTTAACCCAAAAAAAAAGTTTTGCTTGAACATTAGTTTTTTTTTTCATTACTTTGTCACAAGTACAGAGCAACAAAATTCACTCTGCATTTAAACCATCCCTTGGGGAGCAGTGGGCTGCCACTATGCGGCACCCAGGGAGCAGAGTGGGGTTAAGGGTCTTGCTTAGGGACCCGGAGCTGCAGTCTGTGGAAGTGGGGCTCAAACTCAGAACCTCAGGATTCCAAGATCTATGCTCTTACCACTCAAGTTGATCACATTTTAACCCAGTGGGACTTTTTTCTGTCTTTTTAGCCAAAAGCTTGACTTCATATAAGCATTAGCTAATTCCTGCATATTTCACAGGCAGCTGTAGATAATTGATCAACCTGAGGTGATCTTTGGCCTTTTTTTGTGTGCTGTCCCTTAAAGCACACACTCCTGGTGAAATATGTCTTCTGCAACTCTCCATAACCCAAAAAGCCCTTTTTTCTTTTTTTAAAGACACGTTTTCCTTTTACTCAACTTTATAAAATGATATAATTGGATAATGCCCCCAGTTAACACCTAGATTCTTCAGATCTCCTTGTGGCTAGTATTAACTAAGCATAACATTTTTAAAGGCCGTAATTTAAGAAATTATATATATTTTTTCAAATTTCAGTAGAAATAGGCCAGACTTAGACTTTGTCATTTTGTACAGAGGGTGTATACAAAATGAAATGTCATTTAGTACAGCTCTCATGACATTTCCATTTCTAAAGTGCAGCAGTGGTAAAATATAAACGAATGTGTTCAAATGTAAACATAAGACAAGATTTACAGTTTCCCAACATTCAGAGCTTTTTTTTTTTTTTAAGTTCCCCATTATTGAAGGGGTGTCTCATTTGTTAGGGGAACCTTATAGAACTTAATAGCAATAAATAATTAAATTGTATCCTGGTGCTTTAAACCTGGGAACAGCTGAAATGTGGTGGACTGTAACCTTTAATCCACATGTTGGGTTTTCCCCATCACTTCACCCTCCCCCTCTCTGAGCAAAGATTGGGACGCCCCTAGCTGCTGGAGGAAGGGCTGAAAGGTTCCGACTTTAAAGTCCAACGGTAACAAGATGGCTGCGCAGATAAACAAAGAACCTTATAAGTGTGAGTATTCCTACCAGAATCTGTTGATTCTATCGCTTTAAATTCTGAAAATGAAGCTACCGAGCGCATCCCGGTCCCTGACATGAGCCGCCATCTTTGACAGGGCATAAAACGCAAAGGTTTGCTGATAAATGTGGCACATTAGCTGACCGTGTTGATTCTGAGTCTTTACCAAACGTTCCGAGGCGCAGAAAGAGAAAATGTTCGACATAAATGGAGTTTAATGAAGCCGGGATAATAATAATAATAATAGATTTTATTTGTAACGCACCTTACATTTCAAAGAAATCTCAAAGTGCTACAGAGACCAAAAAAAAAAAAAAAAAAAAAAAAAAAAAAAAATGCGTGTTTGAAAGAGCGGTGGTTGTTTCTGAGCAGCAGGTGTTGTGCTCGGCTTGGTTATCATGGAGCTGAGAGGCGACGGGTAAACGGAGGAGACCAAAGTGAACCCAACACCGGCTGGGAAGCATTGGGAATCTGGAATCTACTACATCCGGTTAAAATGTCAGAGAGACGCTGCAAACCTGTTATGAGATTGATGGGGCCGACATGTTAGAAAAAAATAATTTATACAATTTAAATTTAATATAAACATTTTATTTTAAAACAGAGTGTGGCCTCTTTTAATGGGAGAGGCAGCCAAGTGGATAGGACATAGAGCTTGGAATCCAGATGTTCTGAGTTTGAAACCCACTGCCGCAGACAGTCACTCTGGGTCCCTGAGCAAGACCATGGCAGCGCACTGCTCCCCACAGGGGATGGGTAAAATCTAGAGGTAAATTTAGACAATAAGAGAACAATAAAGTTCAATTTCTTTTATGATTCTTCTTTTGAAGGCGAAAAAAATATGTAAAGATAAAAAAAGTCTTCTTTGCTGGACTTCCATAAGAAATAAAAATTACAAAACTTGTAGCTCAACACTGCTTTTTTTCTTTTAAAACTCATCCCTTGACTTGAAATCAACCCTTTTACATTTAAAATATTTATTGCAGCAAAAAGGTTCGATTCCCGGCCCAGGGTTTTCTGCATGGAGTTTGCATGTTTTCCCTGAGCATGCGTGGGTTCTCTCCGGGTACTCCGGTTTCCTCCCACAGTCCAAAAACTTGACTGTTAGATTGACTTCTCTAAATTCTCCTTAGGTGTGAGTGGTTGTTTGCCCTGTTTGTTGATCAGTGGTGTCAAAAGTTCACACATTTGTTACTTCAGTAGAAGTATAGATACTGCAGTTTAAAAACACTCTGGTAAAAGTTAAAGTATCAACTTGACCTCTTTACTCAAGTAAAAGTGAAAAAGTATGTGCTCCAAAAACTACTTGAAGTATAAAAGTATAAAGTAACCTTTAAAAAAAAAAAACAGCCAGATGCCACTAGCTCAATTTTTTGACTATTTCTATAAATTCTCTGAGATAGGGCCAAGGATGAGGGAGGTCTTGTTGGTCTCCGTCTCCCGATACGCTCTCGCCTGTTTCCGACCTTTCAGACATTCCAACATCTTTTTCTGAATCCCACATTGTAGCATGGCATAGACAATTCACGTTAGTAGTTTGAAGAACACCTGCTTGCTTCTGATGGTTTCCTTTAGCTAACCAATGAGTGTTTGCCTTCTATGACTCATCCTATCACACTAGTTTTCACTAGATGTGGATGGAGCCAATGATCTGCATTGGATGGAGCACATGACGGGAAATAAAGATTTAGAAACATTAAACCGAAGCCAAGAGGAACGAGTTACGTTTGATTTAAAAATGTAAGGAATAGAAAGTACAGATACTGGTGAGAAAATGTAATGAAGTCAGAAGTAGGAAGAAAAGTAAGTAATGTAGTAAAGTATAGATACCTAAAAAGTGTACTTAAGTACAGTAGCAAAGTATTTGTACTTTGCTACTTTACACCTCTGGTGTTGCAATGCGATGGACTGGCGATCTTCCCAGAGTGGACCCCCGCCTTTCACCCACTGACAGCTGGAGATGGGGGCCAGCACCCCTCGCCACCCCAGCTGGGATGGATGGATATTTGCACTGAATAAAGTCTAATGATTTACTTTCTAGAATCAATTCACACTAACATTCAAAGGAAACTAAACTATTGTCACAATAGATGTTTCTCATCTCCATAAAAAAGCATTAAACAGTGATTTATATTAATGCCACATTTCCAACATGAACCTTTTCCAGGGACTCCAATAGAAACTCGGCGCCTGATTCGCTTTCGGGCCGAAAACGAGCAGCTTTTCCTCAAGTCGAAGAACAATGTTAAACTAATGTGGGAGTGAGTAGTAATTTAAATATTAATAACAGGAAAACAAAAAAAAGCTGCTTCGTCTCCCTTTTAACGTGACAGTTTCTGTCTCTGAACAGGAATTTAATCCGGGAGCTGGACCTGGAGGGGAAGGTGACGTCCCAACAGGTTTCCAAGAAATGGGAGAATCTAAAAAAGAAGTACAAGGTGAGAAATGTAGACGGGTGTTTAGGGCTGGGTATTTTCACCAAAGTCCTGAATCAATTCGATTTTGATTCATACATTTCTAAATCGATTAATTTCGATTCGATCTGTTCTTCAAAAATGAAAGTGGTTCAACTGCGTTTCAAAATACTTGTTTTTTTTTTTTCCTGTCATATTAAACACAAAGTGCAAACTTGTAAATCGGACAGTTTAAACTTGAGATGTGAACCAAACTGTCTCAAAAGTGCAAACTTGTTTGTGCAAAGTGAAAAAGTGAATCCTCACTCGAGCAAGCAGACGTGACACAGCAGACATGCATGAGCTGCACTGTACAAACCATATTTGCAGCATTTTCTGTAACAACTACAGGGTGTTTGCTGCTCAGCCCCCATTCGTTAATGTCTTCAGTCAACCTGTTGGCCATATTTGCAGCTGTCTGGCTTGAAGTCATCTTAAAAGCATCTTTCCTGCTCATTTGAATGTGAACGTCACGCAGGTCACTATAAAACAAATCAATCTCATTCCCTAGACGTCGATTTTGCAAAAATGTAAACGACTCGATTCAAAATTGATTTTTTTTACCCAGTACCAGTGTTCATTAGAAGTGCAGAGATGGATGATGGAGGTACCAGATCTGCTCAGGGCTCCGCCCCTTCTCATGTCGTCAATATATGGCAACTCCACTGGGACAAACTGTATCGCACCTGTTTCTTTACAATAAAATCTATTTTGGAGTCTCAACATTTTATTACATATATTTGCTATTATTTTAAATTTCACTGGCGATCTAAAATAAGTAAAGTAGATAAGACAGATTGAGCTCTGCCATTTAAAATGTCTCAGCTTAATTTTATTCTTTTTATTAAGATCTGAGGTCAGAGGAGGACAAATGGAACATCTTAAAAAAATGACTTTAATAGAGATTTAAAAAAAATAAACCTGTAGAAAATGAACGGTTGTTGTTGATACGAATTTAAAAGTAGTGGAGCTTAATATGGCTAACTGAGCGAGCTAAAAGAGGCTAACCTGTTAGCCTCTTTTAGCTCCTCCCCTTCATATCATGGTCTAACAGTTACTCTGTTCACCAGAAACAGATTTATTTCAACGTTCAGCCAATCATGTAGCGTAACGTCACTGGCAGGAAGCAGGACCTGAGCGGATCTGTTAGCTACTGCGGTTCTCATTTCCTTTGTTCCTCTCAGGATCTACAGATGCTGAAGGCGGGATCTGCAACGGATGGAGGTGAGGTCACAGCTGTGACCTGGCAGTATTTTGATGACATGCACGAGGTGTTGGGTGGGAAAAGGTCTCCGAAGACGCCTGCTCTTGTTGCGTCCTTTAACGCAGATCCAGATTCCTTACCAAACTTTGAAGTGAAACAGGTCAGTTCTAAGCTTTTATCTCCAAACTGCATCCATACACAGAGAAATAAAGCGTTTGTATCTCTGATATAAAAACAATGCACTGGACTTTGTTTCCAAGTTTGAAGACGTTTCGCTTTCCATCCAGGAAGTTTTTCAATGCAAAATGTCAGAAATAGATGTTTTCTAAACCTTGTTTTGGCTTAGAAAACAGGCAAATTAAACCTGATGAGCGGGCCCACCCCTAGCTAGCATGTAGTTCCTGAAACCTGCCTATGTCTCTAGACGTTTTACTTCGTGGATGGGAAGCGAAACATCTTCAGACTCTGAAACAAATTCCAGTGGATTGTTTTTTTTTTTTTTTTTGGAATGACTATGAACTGGATGACTGAGAATCTTCACCAGCAGTTTGTATCTCTGGTTTTTCTTCAGGAAGAGTTTGAGGTCAAAGAAGAAGCGGGCTTCTCCTCGGGAACGCCGTCTCCCATCCCTCCTCTGAACTCCCCGACTGCTTCCCCTAAAAACAAGCGAAGGAGACGGACCAACCCCATTTTGGACTTTCTCATCGAGGAAAGCGCTAAAGAACAGAAACGACACGAGGAGAGCGTAGCCAAGATCGAGCGCTTTCTCAACCTCTTTGAAAAACTGATTGAGAAAATTTAATCCAAACTACTTTTGGTGAAATTGAACCAATACTTCCTGTTTAATTATTTGTTTTAAGAATACTGTTTTTTTTATTTAAATAAAAAAAAATGTTTCAGGATTTTATGAATATTTTAGTTTTTTCTGTATTAAATATTTGAGTTAAAGTAAAGAATCTGTAGAGCCAGTTCATCCTAGAATGTCTCATAGGAGCCGTCGGGACTTCCAGGTTACTTTATTGGTGCTAGCTGGTAAATTAGGAAGTCAAAAGCTAATTTCCTAGATCTTAAGGAGTCATTTAGCCTGGTGAGACCATCATGATCTCGCGAGCTTTCAAGGTTTCACTCGCAGATCAGTCTGGAGACTCTCCGTTAAAGAAAATTTGGAGCCGTTCACCAAACGAACGTCCAATCAGCGTTGGCTTTGAGGCGGGTTGAGGTGTGACGCAACGAGAAGCGCGACAGTTCAGTCTAAAGAACATGGCGGCTTCAGCCGATTAAACTAGCGTTAGCGTGGCTATCGAGCAAGTTTTATGGGAATTACAGAGTATTTCTTCACTGAAAGAAGAGCAAAACACTGCTCTGGAGGCTTTTCTCAGAGGAAAAGATGTTTTTGCTCTTCTCCCGACTGGTTTCAGCAAGAGTTTGATCTATCAATTGGCTCCTCTTCGTCGTCGCTCTGTTAGTACGTCATATGCTTCGTTGATCTGATTGGTTTATTTGGCCCGTCTATCACCAACATAGGCCAATCAGCTAACCAGTATTTTCGCCCCTTCCCAAAATTACTTCAACGGAAGGTTTCCAGATGGATATGAGGAGCTAATCCATCTGGTGGAGTCAGGTTAGGAGTCATTACCACTTAGGATAAATGCAGGACAGTAAGGCACGATTGAGGAGAAGAAGGATGAAAATTCTTGAGCTGAAAGATATAATTATGTTCTGTGAGGTCCTGATAGTTATGTCAAACTTCCAGTAAGGTAACCTGGGAATATAGTTCATATTTATACTGTCCATTAAGGCAGGAGTCTTCAACCTTTTCCAGGCCAAGGACCCTAAACTGATGGCGAGATAAGGACCCCCTAATTATATATATGGTATGAAATAGTGTTCTATCAAACTGGTCCTATAGTCACTCTATTACAGATGGAGTAATGTAACTAAAGTAATCCCTCCCTGGGATTATTAAAGTATTTCTGCTTCCTGGTTGATGGGACAGGTGTTGTGAATGAAACGGTGTCCAGCTTGAAAGAGCTCCTGTGTGTCTCTGAATGTGAGCATTGATGACTGAAAGACATCTTCTGCCTCCATTTATCTGTTTACTACAGTCTGTTGGATTCATGTTAAGGTGGATTTAAAGACATTTCAATTAGTGGAAAAAATTGCAGGAGGGAATATAAAAAAGTCTAATCAACCAAAACGTTCGTAACCCCCCATGCAGTACCTCCGTGGACCCCCTAGGGGTCGCTGACCCCCTGTTAAGGACCTCTGCACTAAGGCATTAAGTTGATTTTAAATGACAGAAAAGGAGATGTTATTCCTGCAGCTCTGGCGACATGTTCCTGGCAGCCAGTTCGTCTCTGGTGGCGACTCCAGACGTCTCATCGTCTGTCAGGACCTCCTGAAAAGTAGACGAGGCAGTAGCGTCCTCTGCTGTGTCATCTTCCGGTTCCAGAACGTCCGCATTGTCCAGACACAAATTATGCAGAAAAGCACACGATGAAACAACCTGAGTCGCAAACTCCGGTTTAACCTCCAGGGCGCTCGATAAGGTAGACCTCCACCGAGTCTTCATCACTCTGAACGCCCTCATGGCCGCGCTGCAGGCTTTAGAATGATGCAAGTTGAAGAGCTTCTGTGGCGGTTGGCTTACAGGCTCTGTGTAAGGTGTGATCAGACGGATCGGGGAGTCCAGGCAGGGGTAGCTTTTATCACCCAGGAGGATGTAACCAGGAGGAGGGTAGCGTCTCGCCTGGTAAAAGCTGCTGTTCCTCATGATTCTGGCATTGGGAACTGATCCTGGGTGACCAGCCAGGATGTCCAGGAACCTTCCGTCGGAATCAAGGATAGCCTGCATGCTAACTGAATGAAAACCCTTCTCATTGATGTAATCAAAGTGGTGATATTGAGGAGGTTTGATCCTAATATGTGTGCAGGAGATCACGCCTACAACTTTGTCAAACGCCGCCGTCCCAGACCGCTCCACAAACCCTTGTCCAACCTGGTGTAGATCTTCTGTACGAGGGAAAGAGATGGCCGTGCTGAAGTGCAGCCATATCCTTTCGGCAACAGTATGGATGATGCGGTAGATTGTGGATTTCGGTACGTTAAAGACCCTAGAAACTACCCGGTAGGAGAGTCCGTGAGCCAGCCAGTAGATGTAGATCAATACCTCCAGCTCGTTGCCCCAGCCGTGATCCTGGTCCTTCTGCAGGAGCCTCTGCAGGGCGTGCATCACTCTTCTGCTCAGGCGGAAATCCTGCTTCAACTCGGACTCCACGTTGAACCACAGACGGAGGATGGGAACGTTATGGTTCAGCCGGCAGTACGTTGCTGGATTAGAAGTCTGAAGAACATAAAAATGGGGAAAATAGAAGTTTATGGAGAAAAGGATCAGATTCTTTGTGTTCCAAGTGAAGCCACCGGCCGCCATATTGGTACTCCCTAGTTAGACCGGTCGCAATGAAAACAATATGTGCGCTACAGCATTGAATAACAATGATGTTCTCATTTTTAGGGACTTAAGACTTTTAAAATAAAGATAAATTCATCACTTTGACACAGACTGGCTGTTTCATAGCATCAGTAGATTAACTTTAACTTAGAATAAAAAAATAGGCCAATCACATTGCATAGTCATTATGAAGCCGATGAAGTCTATAAATTATGTTAGGGATGCACGATATTGGGATTTTGGCCGATATCCGATACGCCGATATTTTAAAACTCATGTAGCCGATAACCGATATCGATACCGATGTTAAAGCTGGACAAAAATAAGTAGTCATTGAAAATAGCAGTTTTGTTATCCATTTCTGACACTTTGAAAAATAATATACTCAAATATATTTTCATATGCTGATATCAAATAGATTTTTAAAAACGCGGTATGGATCTATTTTACTTTCAAAATCTGGTGAAATTTCATCGTTCTGTTACAAACTCTCGTGATATTTTGCAAATTCTTGTGAGATTTTGTTAGTAAAATAGATCGATACCGCGTCAATATATCAACATATAAAAATATGGCAACATTTGGTGAATTTTCGGGGGATTTCATAGCATAACGATGACATATAGCAATATTTCATTAGTAAAAGAGATTGATATGGTGTTTTTAAATGGCAATATATCAGCATATGAAGATATTGGGATATTTTAATGGATCAATATTTTTTCCCTCGTCTTTAGAAGTTTTTAAGTTTGTAAAAAAGAAGTTTTTGAGGAAGAAGAAGAAGTAGTATTTTTTATTTTTTTTTAGACTTTAGAAACTCAGAAGCTGATCAAATATCGGGTTAAATATCGGTGGGGGGGCCGATGTCCGATATTCAGTTTTAAGGCCGATACCGATAGGAGGCCGATTATATCGTGCATCCCTAAATTATGTTATATAACGTATTATAGAAATCCACAATAAAATGTGTTAATGGAGCATAAAAATAGAGATGTGCCAAAAGTGCTAAATTGATGATGTACATGTAATATACATGGATTTATTGCATTGTTATGGTAATTACATTTCTGATAATGCATGCCATATATATATATATATATATATATATATATATATATATAGTGGTGAAATTATTGAGTTGCTTTTTTTCTATCAATATAAAATGCAATATTTCAGCACATGACTTTTTAAAATGAGAAATACAATAAACACTACAGGAATTACAGTATCATTCACTTAATAAATAATTACTACATTAACATTTTACAGTGAATTACTTTCTATTTCCTCTACTTTCTATTTTCTAACGTTAGACCCAATGTCAATGTCTAACTCTGTCAAAGTCTTCCAGTCAGTCTGAGATAGCCAGACTAATGTTAGTCTGCAGACTAAACTATAGGATCCATCGGCTATAGATGGATTTATTGCTTAGTTCATCCACTGACTGGGAAATTACCAGTGGAACGTCTTCCTGCAAACAGAAAACTGCTGGTTAATGCAGCTGAATGAAACACAGGTTGGCATCTCCTAGGGAGTGATCAGTGGTCACAAGTACTACAGCAGAGTATTAGGGCCCGGATAGAGATTATTTGTTTTTTCTATTTCGAGAATAAAGTCCTAAAATTACTAAAATAAAGTAATGAAATTATGAATATAAAGTCATAAAATTCTGAGAATAAAGTCACAATGTGAATAGTCATAAAATTAAAAGAATAAAGTAAAAAAAAAAAATATTAGAATAAAGTAAAAAAAAAAATAGAATAGTCATAATATTATGAGAATAAAGTCAAAAAATTACCAGAGTAAAGTCACAACGTAAATAGTCATAATATTAAGAGAATTAAAGTCATAAAATTATGAGAAGTAAGAATCTTATGAGAATTAAGTCAAAATATTATGAAAATAAAGTCGTAAAAATGAGAAGAATAGTCATAAAAATTAAGAGAATAAGCAAAAAAATTAGGAGAATAAAGTCATAAAAATTAGGAGAATAAAGTCTTAATATTAAGAGAATAAAGTTGTATTTTATGATAACTCTTAGAAGAAGCTCTAAATGAGGAATGTGGAGCAGGTCTGTCGCCATCTGCTGGTCGGAGGTCGAGGGTTTCTCTCTGAAGCGGGTTGTGGTCTGATGGCTTCACTCTCATAATATTATGACTTTATTCTCATAATATAAATAATCTCTAGCCTAGCCCTAATATTCAGACGTACAGAGAAATGAAATTCCCTCTCTGCATTTATCCGGTCCCCTTGGGAAGCAGCGGGGCTGGCACTGCACAGGTCTTTGCTCAGGTAGCCAGAGTGGCAGCCTGTGGGAGTGGGGTTCGAACTCACAACCTCAGGCTTCCAGGCTCTATGTCCTAACCTAGTGTTTTTTCAACCCTGGTCCTCAAGGCACCCTGCTCTGCATGTTTTGGATGTTTCTGAGCTTCAGCACACCTGATTCAGGTGACTGCAGTTCAGCAAAGCCTGATAATCTGCTATCAATTGATCACAGGTGTGTGGAAGCTGGGAAACATCTAGAACATGCAGGGCAGGTGCCTTCAGGACCAGGACTGAAAAACACTGCCTAACCACTAGGATAGAGAAAGGTTGATTGACCGGATGCCTTATTGGGATCTAAAGACTTACTTCAGACTTATCCAGCAGCAGCAGCAGCTGGCGGAGGCGTCTTCTTCTTCTCTCACGCCTCCGTGTCGCTGCGGATAACCGTAAAAAGATGGCTGCGGCGAAAGCTAGGGAAAGGCGGACAGGAGCGGACGGCATGATGGAGCTGCCAACACGCCGCGTCTGTTTACAGTGGAGGAGAACAGTTCCTGGAGGGGGAGGGGCCACAGCTGGTGGTCCGAACGGGATTGGTCAGATATTAATTCGTAGGCGGGGCTTGGAAATTAAATAACAGAGCAAAAGAAAACACTGCCATCTGCTGGAAAAAAATAAACCCAACGCTTTATAAATAAGAACTAATAAGTTAAGAAATAAAAGTATAAAAAAATCCCCGACAACGTATTAATAGTAATAAAATAGCTTTTCATTAATTCCACATTTCTGTATCTTTTTTATTAGGTCATTTATAATATTTTTACGTGTGTGATAAACTTATATAAATTGTAATTGAATTTTCATTAATATTAAACATTTTTGAATATTAAAAATATTTCAAGGTTTAGACTGGAAATAACCTGCAATTTATAGGTTAATACACTGGGATACATTACCCAGCAAAACAGTGACTGTATGTTTTACTAATGTCATGTCTTTAATAAAATTCAAAAATTTTATTTATATTAATTTCCAACATATTTACATTGAAATACTTCTTTATGGAGTAATTTGACCGGGGGTTGATTTAGGACATTTGGGGCCCTAGGCTAAGAGGGGCAGGGGGCTCTCTGAACTGAGAAGACACCGCATAAAATAGCCCCATTCTCCAGATAGAGAAATGTTAATAGAATAGACATCCATTATCTGTTCTAGGTTGTGTCCCTCTCTTCTTTTCCCTTTTCTTCTTGTTTTCCTCTCTCCGTTTTGTACTCAGCTGACTTTTCATGCTGTCTGTAAAGGAATGAAAGATTTTTTCCAAGCACTAAGCTCACTTAGCTGATTGCTCCTTCCTGTGTTTCCAAAAAGGCCAAAGTAAATAACCCAGTCCTTCTTTTCACTGTAGACAAGCCATGATCTGCTTCTCTGTTCTCCATTTTTCATTTGGATGAAATAATAGCTGCATGAATCATGACAGCAGACAAGATAGAGGAGAGCAGGAGGCGGGGTTACCAATCTACTCGCTCTGGAGAGCAGAGTTCGCTGCTTTTAGATGTTGTCTCCAAAGTCTCCAGTAGCAGAAAAAAGTCTCTAGATTTGGCGCTAGGAGCTTTTTAGAAATCAAAGTGCTAGAGGGGTCTGAAAAGTGGCTAAATATAGCGACTAAAGCGCTAAGTTGGCAACACTGCTCTTTGCATGGTTTGTTTTCAAATGGTTTGCTGCTGTCTGTTTGGACCTTTCTGAACATGTGCAGCAAATGGACTGATCCAATATGGTGGACACTGAAGGGGGGGGCTGAGACACACTTAATATTATCAGCGTTCTGATGGCATTTTAGCCAAAGGATTTAGATCAAAAACATAATTAATGTGCAGAAATATGGAACTTGGCACCCTAGGCAACTGCCTAGTATTGCCTAATGGTAAATAGCACCTGATTTTGAGAGTAGATCAGATTATTTTAGTAGCAAAGACTCTTTCTCAGGACCTGCAAAGCTGCTCTTTCACTGGTTGACATTTTTTCTGATAAATGCCTTTACATGACAAAGAAATAAAACAAAGAAAAGACAAAAAGAAGAGCCAAAGTCAATTTTCTGCTAATGTGTATTTCAATAAATAAATATGAGAAAATGTTTTTAAAGTGAGCAACAAAAAAAGATCGCCAACATGCACAGTAACCGAGTGTACAAAAGCTGTGATGTATGAACACGTCAACGAAACATCCAAACAGCTTTCAGAAAGGCGCTAAAAGCGTTTTACAGTGCAAAACCGTCATCTCAGTTAAAGCAGTCTTTGTTATTGATCGGCGAGGGTACATTCAGCTGGAGGCTCTACAAACATCATCAATAAACACCAAAGAGACGAGTGATCGGATTTCCCGAACTGAGGAAAAACACGTCCTGTGGAGAACTTTACAGCTACGACAACACTGATGAAAACAAACACTTTGATCGATGAAAATTACTGACAGGATCTGATCAATAACAGCTGACAGACAGCTGATGCATCAAGTGATCGGCAGGTCGGGAAAACATGACGAGAAAAAGGTCTTTTTAGCACAGAAGCTGCAGGAGGAACCGCTTAAAGCTTCACTCTGGTGGTTTGGATGGAAATGGAGAAACAGATTTAAGGCTTTAGGAGCACAAAGGGAGAAAATATTCGCCTTTTTTTTTACATCAAAAAGTTAATCCCTTTTGTTCTGGAGTTTTTCCTCTTTAAAAAAAAAAACATAAGAAAAATTCTTAAAGGGGATTTTATTTTAAATAAAGGTCCAGTAGGGAAGTGAAGTCAGTTACATAACGTCGAAAAGACTCAAAATTAAAACTAAAACTGAATGTGATGATGAAGGGAAATTATTTTATACTTTTAACTTTAATTAACTGAATCATTTATTTATTTATTCACTTTGAGGGTTTAGAATGTAACGACTTATTTGCAAAAAATGTAACCTTACATTGAAGAAAAAACATCAAAAAAAAATTTCCTTGTAACAAAACCTTAGTTTTCTACACACAAAGTAACTAAAACATTTTGTTTTAAGCAGGTTAACTAAAATAAGACAAAACAGTGCTGGAAATAGACCGAATTTACTAATTTAATAAAAAAAATTCAATATTCATTTTAGTGCGGTGAAATAATGAGATTAAATACCAGTTATGTTCTGCAGACTTACTTTTTTATGATGTTAATAAAGTTTAAGAAAACCTGTTGGTTTGTGAGTGATACAAATATGAACAAAAAGATCTTCTGGGAATAAGATTCTTACAAATCATTTCCTTTATGTAAATTTATTTAAATTTACATTTTCCGCTCCCATCAGATTAAAGTTGAACATGTTGGTTCCGGCTGTGAATGTGGAGGTTTTCTGTCTGCGTTGAAGAAAACATCAAACTTTAATCTCCCGCTCCCTTTAAATGGTGCAGAATATTAGAAAAAGAGCAACTCTGCGACGCGTCGGTCGAAAAAACGGACGACGGTCTTTAAAAGCACAACCTTTAGTCAAGGCGTCTCAGTGAGGAAAGCAGCAGATATTTACAGGAAAACAAACATTAATTTCCCTCTTCCTCCTGTTCCGAGTTCGACCAAAGCCTCTTCACGCTGAGGTCAAGTGGTCCTGACGCCAGGCCCGTTTCCACGGAGACGACCTCGGACTTGGCAGGGCGTTGAAAAAAGAAGAGGAGGCACTTCCTGGATGGCTGGTTTGTCTGCGGAGCGTCTCTGCGCCTCGGTCGTCTCCTGAGCGTCTCGGGTGAAGCGGGTGATTGGCTGCAGGTCTGCGCCCGGGCAGCTGGGGGCGCTGCTGTTGTTTCAGTTGCCTGATGGTGGAGGCACTTTGTAAAGATGCTCTGAGGGGGAAGTCCGGCTCCGTTATGTCATCAGGATGGGCTTCTGCCTCACCTCCAGGATGTCTGCCACACAAACACAAGGATCAGTGACTTTTGGAGGAGGAGTTTTAAAAAACATGGAGGTTCAACTGGTTTTGATGTCAGGCTTTAGTGAACAGCTCTGATTTTCTGGGTAGAAATCAACACAAAAAAAAATCCCTTTCTGACTTTTGGATCTCTGGTTTGGAAGCATTAAGGCGACACATTTGTTTTATGCTCATTATAGCATCTTCATATCACAGTCTAAGAAGAATCTGAGCGCTGAGACTAAGGAGAAAAAGTTTGTTTCTCTCAGGTTGGAGTCGGTCTCTAAAGTATCTTGATTAATTACTTAATGTATCAGAGCGCCCTCTGCAGGAAAAAAGGTGTTTTTTCCGAGTATAGCAAAGATAAGCACATATAGAACTGTTGTATATTTGGAAAAAAAAACACAAAAACAATAAGTTTAACAGGAATGTCCTCCATTTAGCCTGGGAAATAACATGTACAGCTCAATAAATAATAGCATCCTTTATCCTGGCAAAAAAACAACCCTTTGAGCTCCCCTCACTATCCTCTGCAGGACACAGCTCTGTAAAATATATGAATGTTAGTAGAGAGGATATTTGTGGCAGCAGTACTTAAGCAATTATTTTATTAATCATTAATTCTTATTATTAATCAACTAATCTGACAAAAAAGGCGTATTTAATGTGTAATGGAAATATATATATATATATATATATATATATATATATATATATATATATATATATATATATATATATATATATATATATATATATATAAATATATATATATATATAAATAAAATAATAATTTTCAATAGGAAAAATAAGAAAGGATCCATCCGTAGCCAAAGAACATCAACATTTTAAAAGCTCAGAACTTGGTTGACTTTACATTAACGCAGTGCTAGCTTATGGTCATAAGAATGTGCATATAGTAGTGCACTTGCACGATGTAATCTGAAAAATCACAGTTCTGCATAAATTAAGCAGAACTCTCCTAGATTGATAATTGATACCAGAAAACAGTGTAATGTAATATTAAACGAAGCCTCCAGGAAGAAAATTAGTCTGATGGATTTTAGGAATCTGGGAATCACTGGAGGAACTGTCACAGCTTTAATTCATTTTGCTAATATGTTTTTCTAATGAAACTTTAATTTAAAAAAGGGAACAAACTAATTTATAGCATTTTAAAGCAGGGAATCAAATCAAATCAATTAGTTAAGCAAAATAATGACTTTAAAACATTATGAGACTTAATAGCTTTGTTTATAGGATCACTGACTGGGTTTTCCTCAAGGCCTTAAGGAAATATCACGATAAAAGTTGATTAATGTTTGTGCTTCAAGACAATGAATCATATTAATCATTTAAACATTGATGCATTTTATTGTTTATTAATGTTAAAAATTGATAAAGGGAATGGAAACCCTTAATCAGCTTCTATGATAACTACAATTGTGTATCAGGCAAATAAAAATAGCATTTAATAAAGAAACGGGTTTAAAACAATGTTTGTCTTCGTACTAAACAGTATCTGAACTTCAGTCTGGGATCATTTAACTTTAATCCCTTCAGTAATAACCATGGCCTGGTGGAGATCAGCCTGTGGTGCTGCTGAGGAGATCTGGAAGGCTTGTTAGCATCGTTAGCAGCCTTCAGGTCGTCTGCATTATTGGTTCTCATCTTCCTCCTTAAGGGCTGGTTATCCTCCTGCAGCAGTGGTAGCAGACATTTTTGATTTATGCTCAGTATTGAAGCGTGGTCTGTGCTACACGCTGTGGGTCTAGATACGGCCGAGGCGATGAGGAAGTGGGGGCGAGTTTGTGTGACAACGGAGGGACATGACGGTGAAAAAATAGCGGGGATCCAGGTGGAAAAGGGTCCCAGCGTTCTCTCGCACCTCGATCTTCTAGCTGCTCCAACTTCACGAGTTGTTTTCCGCAATTTCGGTCATAAAACAAAACAAGCCGGCCTCCTGTCTGCGGTCAGCTACAATTTGGGAGAGGAGCAGCAGAGCGTCTGCAGAGAGGGCGGGACGTCTATTTCTTCACTGCGAAACCTACGCAGACGACCTGATTTTGAAGTATAAATCAGCCTTTAATGTTTGATCCTCTATGGGGTTGAGATCAGGCCGGTTTGCTGGTGATACTACAGTAATTGAAGCAGCTGTTAGTACCTTTGGCAGTGAGAGTCAGAACCAAGTCCTGCTGGAAAATAAAATTAGCATCTTCACTAAGCCTGTCAGCAGAAGGAGGCATGACGCGCTGTAAAATGCTCTGATAGATGGAGGTGTTGATTTTGGACTTTATAGAATTCAGTGGACCAGAGCCAGCAGACAGCATGGTACCGTAAAACCAACACTGACTTTAACCTCCAGGATTCTCTCTCTAATCTTCCTCTAGACTCTAGAACCATGATTTTTTATCCTGAAAACTTTGGACCTTTGGGAAAATGTTCAGATCTTTTTCTTTTCAGCTAAGACGTCTTTTTTCTGAGTTCAAAGAGCAGCTTAAACACAATTAGTCGAACAATTCTAGCTCATGCTCTAGATACATGTTTGGCTTCTAGCATGAAATTCAGACTCCATCAGCAGAGCCTTTCGAAAGGAAACGCTTACTCATATTGAGAATACGAAATTCTGAAAGTACTTTAAATATGAAATTATTACACTGTTCAATAAATGATCAGTGTTTTAATCATGTGCTGTATCTGGTGTTTGTCACAACGCGCTATTATCCAAGTCATCTTGAAAACATGCTTCTTCCAAATGTTGGCTACATATTACGGGTTTTTTCTCTGGCCAGAAGTTCGATGGCAAATCCTCCCTCTTCAAGTTGGCGATCCAACGACCAACCCGTCCGTGGAGGATCAGGAATCAGAAAGGTGGAATAACTCTTTTTTTTTCACTTTTACCCGATGTATTCCAGCATCCAGCTGCCATGCACGTGGGCATTGTCAGTTTCACTATAGCTCTGGTGAATTTCAATGGTGAAGTCCTCTGGAAATCTTCAATAATTGTTGTTGATTGCAGATGTGTCTAGTAGTTCCCATTGATTTAGCTTGGAAAGCGGGGAGAATGGCGCTAGGCTAACCGCACCGTGACGTCACTGCTGGAAGATGGCAGGAGGGAGGGGCTACTATATTTGGATAAAAATGGCCGCTCCCAGACTCAGTGATCACGACGAAAATTTTCAATTTTATACAGATTAATGCTAAATTCATCAAATCGATGCAAACGTATTGGTTTTAGGTATAGATAATGATCCATTGATCATTCCTTGCTGACCAGACTTTTCCTTTAAATTACAGTTTTTCCTTCTACTCAAGTCTCTGTATAATATACCTGAACAAAAATCACTCTGTAAATAATTAGCTTCCTTAGTAAAGGTTAGAACAATAATGTTAATTCGATAAATCTTTTCTGTTTAATGCCTTATTAAAATGATTTTAGATACTGAATTAAGGGTTTCTACTGATCATCACAAGTAAAAAGATCAATCAATAATAGAAGTTTCCCTTCTTAAATGAAAAGAAATAAATCTACTTATAGTTTCTCCTGCTGTTGCAGCTTTCTGCCTGCAGATGGCGGTGTGTTACTGCACTACACCCTCGGCTCTGACCTGTGGTGATGCGGTGCAGCGGCAGCGTGACGTAGGTCAGGTGCGAGTAGAGCAGGAAGTAATCCTCGGCGCGGTTCAGTTTGAGCCAGGAGCCGACCAGAGAGCGCCCGGTTCCAGAGAGCGAGCGCGAGCGAAGGTTGGTGGCCGTGTGGATGTCTGGGAAAACCGGTTCAGTGCAAATCAGTACGTGAAGCAATGAGAAAAAACCCACAGTGACCAGTTTACTGTCGTCTCTTCACCTTCATCCTCTTCCTCCCTGAAAAACTCCTCGCTGTCATTGGCGGAGTGGGACTTCTTCATCTCTGCGATTCGGTTTCGGGGGACTTTTCTTCTCAGGGACGGAGAGAAGAAGGAGGGACGGTTCCTCTCGGGGGTCGGAGGAGTGCTGAATGACGTCACCTGTGGGGAAAACGCCTCGTTAGTTCACCCTGAAAAATGTCATAGTTTAACAACTAGGGCTGCAACTAACGATTATTTTAAAAATCGATGAATCGGACGATTATTTTTTCGATTAATCGATGAATCGGACAAAAAATATTTTTTATATTAACCTCTTTATTCCAAAATAAACATTTTAGACAGAACAAACAAGCACACAAGTACAGGTTGCTCGTTAACTGTACTGGTGCATTATGAAAAATAAATGTTTGTGTTAAAACTACGCAAACTTACATAAGAAATGTAGCTGTACATCCACAAAATATAGGCTACTTTGTTTCATAAAGCGCAAAAAAAGACATTTTTGTTTTTAAAAGCCCCTAAGGGGTTCAAACAATAGGCCCCCCCATTTCAAAAAATAAGTTTTTTTAGACTAGAAGAGTTCTGCCTTTTAAGACAGGAAAGTATAGCAGTTAAAGTTGCTACTTGAGAAAATACTGAACCATAGAGATAAAAATAGCCCTGTGATTCAAATTATAAATTGTATTTGGAATAAAAATGAGAGAACTAGGGGTGCTAAAAAACACATCCTCCAAAGACAGATATTTACATGGGAATGTGGCAGATAATTAATTGACATATTACTGATCTTGCTGGATTTTATTCTGCTTTACTTCCATAAATTGCAGGATCTTCTTTACTTTAACTTTGCCAGAAGATTTAAACTTTAAAAGCCTTGCCCTCATAATTTGCAAGTTAATTTATTTATAAAGAAAATGTAAACGCTGCTTAAGCTAATTCAAATGAAATTAAAGGTAAAATAAGTAGCCAACCTTATCCCTGTCTGTAACATACTAACACGGTAAGGAAAGCATCGGATGAGCTACCTGAGAAACTAACGTTACGTTTCCCCACTTTAAAACCAAACAAACATGGTGGTTCCGTGCCATGTTCATTTCTTTTGACAAAAGTTGCATGTTATCACTTTTTTCGCTTTACAAAGCGCAGGCTATTTTAATTATTGTGATCAATTTGCGCCGTCAATCCCGGTGCATGCGCGCTTCATTTGCAGTCTGGACGCTGAGGCTCTGACTGCAGCGCTGAGAGGGACTCCTGCGGGAAAACGCGGTTGGGGTGGGGGAGGCGTCCCACGGCAGAGTAGGAACGATACATGCTTTCACGTAAGAGTCTCCAAAAGCCGCCAGTGACACCGAAAAAAGTCGACAGATTTGTCGCTAGAACGCTTTTTAAAAAAATAGTCGCTGGAGGGGTCTGAAAAGTCGCTGAGTTGGCAACACTGCAACTGCGGCGCTGACTCGCTCTGCCTTTTTTTTTTCTTCCTCTTTCAGTCAAGAGGCAGTGATGACGGCGCGGCGGATGACGCAATAATCGCGCGACACAACTAATCGATGATGAAATTCGTTGCCAACGCTTTTAAAGGTCGATTTTTATCGATTTTATCGATTCGTTGTTGCAGCCCTATTAACAACCATTAATGTTGGTGGCGATGACCTCTATAAACAAAGAATTCCTCCATCTTGAGCTCAGACTATAAACCAGACATGATTTTTACTCATCAGATTGTAAAACGATGCATAATTCAGTCCTGCTGCATTTATTATTGACGGTGACCTGGTTTCTTCACAAAGCTTCTGGACTTTCTATCTGCTTCCAGCAGGAGGCTCAGAGCTCCTGCTCTGCCTCATGGGCTGGATTTCACCCTCACCCGTTCATGCATGGGGGAGACCTGGTCCTCCTCTGTGTTGCAGGGTGACGTGTCGCCCGTCGGCACCCGACTGACGGCCATCTCGGCGTGACCCTTCCCCTGTGGCCCCTTCATCCTCACAAACTCCATGTTGTTGTACTTGTAGAAGCCGAACGACATCCGCTGGGCCATTTTAGCAGCGACGCTCACCTGCAGCAACAGAAGATTCATTATTTGCTCTCCTATGTTTATAAGGTTAACCCTCTAAAGGGCAAGTTACCATTTTTTTGATCACTTGCATGTCCCTTAAGCCCGGCGTACACTGTGCGATTTTCCAGTCATGCGAGAATCTTTCAATCGGGCCGACTTTCAGCCTGATCGTGCGTCGTGAAGTGTAGAGGGGGTTACGAGCGGTGATCAGGCTCTAACGACCGCCTCCTGATCAGGAATCGTGAGGTCGGGAGAATATCCAACATGTTCGATTTTCTCCCGACCGTCATGGGAAAATCGCTCAGGGCGCAAACAATAATTTTTCTTTTTATTCTTCCTCACAGCAGCGTGGCGGGGGTGCAATGAATGAAATGCAGTTGTGTCTGTAAAATTGACAGACTGTAGCAGCCACCTTTGCTCAGCCAAGTATTTTTTTCAAATACGTTGTCACCTTTTCTTTTCAGGGCTTTCAGCACAAAGTTACACAAATTGCCATGGCAACGCATTTCACTATAGTGAGCTTAATATCCCCCTTCTGCTTGTTGCTTGTTGATTGCTTCTACTTGCAACAGAGCAGCTCCATCTCACTGCAGAGCTCAGTCCGACGTGGTTTTTAGTCGTACAGTGTGAGCAGGTAGATCGGATCAGAGCGTCGGGCAGAAAATAAATCGTGAGCTGTGAACTCACATTGTACAACTAAACCCTGCGGTTAATCCTACAGTGTGAGCAGCAGCTGCGTGCAACGATTGAAAAAAATTAAAATAAATAAATCGCACAGTGTACGCCCCGCTTTACAGATGGAGTCCCCTACGTCCCTCAGTGAGGTCTAGATGCACAAGATCTATATCCAGCGTACATCTTATTTTACCTACTGGAAATTAAGTTGGAAAAAAAAAGTTAAGAAAAAAAAGGTAAAAAGCTAATTGAAAAGTTAATAAGCCTAGCAAACAATTATATTTAGGTTTATAAACTAAAAAATTGCCAGTATCAGCATTAATGCCTCTAAGGTTATGATGTACCAAAAATTTATTTTTTACTCTCAGAGTGTTTTGAATGAATTTCTTATAGAAGCACTGTTTCTATATTTCTTAATATATTCTGGCAAGATGGCGGTTTTTTTTTTTATTACACTGACATTAACTTTTGCCATCAAAATAGCCATTTTTTTTATGTTACAAAGGTGATAAGGTCTTGTCCTGGATTCCAATAACACTATTAGCTTAAAATTTGGATTTTCAAAGTATTTCACTGAGTGCCCTTTAACCCTGTAATGCCAAATGTATCGTATTTGATGCATACGGTTTCTGAAATGTTTTGCGTCTGACACCTTTTGCATAATTTAATGGTAAAAACTGCTCAAAATCCTATTGTACACAATCAGATATACCTGATAACAGCCAGTAGAAGACTACACAAAAAATAATCTTGACTTATCGCATAGTAATAAATTATTAATATCAAAAATCTATTTCTGTTTTTTCTTTTTACATATTTTGTTAAAAGGCCAAATAAGGAATTCAAACAAACAAAAAAAAAAAAGTAATTTTCTGTTTTGTTTTATTCTTGGATCGGGCTTTAAAGGGATAAAGGGTTAACTGATTATAAAATATATTTATAATCAGAAAATCCATCTGTAGTTTTGTTTAAAAAGCTTCATTTTGAGACGCTAATGTTAGGGACTATTACCCGGTTGTCGTAAACCTTCCTGAGGGCCTCGTAGCGGATGGATCCCTGGAAGATGACGCCCTGGAAGGTGTTGCTCTTATCGCTCGCCACCAGCTCCACACACACCATCTCGCCCTCGCCGACGGTCATGTCTCTGAACACCTGCACAGGCAGACAGGGCTAAATCCATGGCGGTTCTTACACCTGCGGTCCTGCTGCTGCGTAAAGAGAAACATTTAGCTAAATGCTGCAGCTGCATGCTGTTTCCTGCAGCAAACCTGTTAAAGGAGGTATTAGCTCAGCCACTCTGGATTAAATGTGGTGGAAAGTCACCTTCAGCACTGCAGTAACTTCTGCTTTATTTCCAGTCATTCCTTTTAAATCAATCAAGTCCTTCCGGAATAATTTCCAACATTTCTTCCATCATCTTCTGCAGTTTAAATCTAACACCCATTTCTCTAAGCGTTAACGTAAAATCAAATTTAGAAACATGTTTGGTTTGAGGATCACAGTCGAAGGTCACTACCTCTTCAAAGTTGTCAATCATGAAGAAGATGTTGGGATAGCTCATCTTGGACTCTTCTCCTTTGCTGTCCATGGCGTGTTTGCTGGGAGACGCAAAAACCTCCTGGAGGAAGAAGAGGAAAAGATGAAGGAAACTGAGCGGGTGCGACTCAGCAGTGACTGATCCCATTTCCTACCTGACACTTCTTCTTGTGGACGTGGATGTCGCCGGCGTCTGAGCGCGTACAGACGGCACAGGTTACCACGTAATCCAGCTGTGGGGAGACAAACGTCTCAGGTTGGTGGAGTTAAAAGGAACCAACAGCCATCAGGATGAATTCACAGATTAATATTCATTTGTAGACCAGCTGGATTATAATCTCTGCATCCTGACTGGGTCCAACATGGTTTTATATGGTTTTCTGTATTTATTAAATGTAAATGCAGACTGAAGAAAAATCTACTGAGAAATTATTTCTATTCTGTTGGATTTTGTGTCCCATTGTTCGATCAGCAGCTTTACCTTCTGCAGGATCAGATTCAGGTAAACACTCTCCTCCCAGTCGATGTCTGGGTCACCGAGGCCCGGAAGCTTCTTTGAGTCCCGTCTGTAGACCTCCACCTCCACCTAAAAACAGAAACCAAGTAAAGTCATCAGGTTTTCTACCTAAAAGTGCCAATTCTAGCTCTGCAGGTTGTAACGGCAATTATATAATCTGTCCCTTTGCTTTTAATCCTCCATTTTCTGTCCCCCAGGTGTGAGAGATTTCTCTGTTTTTTCCCCCCCTTCATGTCAGACGCTCTTCAGGGAGATCCCGGGTCTCTAAAATGCCAGGACTTGTATCAGTCAAAGACCTTTTAGAGCGCCAGAATGGTTGCCATGGTTACATCTGTTTCTGTGTGGAGAGCTGATGGGATGAAAAGGCTCCACGTTGGAAACAGGTGGATGTTGCACAGCAGCGTTAGGATCAGAAAAGACAACAAGTCGATTGTTTTCCTGTGGCTTCATGGAGCAGAAACAGCCTTAAAAGCGTCACCTTTCCTAGAGGGGAAGTGAGGAGAAACACTATTCTTTATTTTATCTTTGAATGTCAAACAGGCAAGAGCAGAATAGGAAACTCATTGACCCTTTTCTTCGATAGATCAGAATCGATGTTTCCAACAAATCTCTATAAAAACAGCAACAGAAACATGAGTAAAACAAAACAAAATCTTCAGAATGTATCGACAGATAACATAAATCAGGGAACGCCTGAAAACATCTAGACTCAAAAGTCAGGATAAAGTCTCTTATCTTAAAGCAGAAATCAGTTAAGTTTATTTATATAATAACAATTTACAACCTGCGTCTGGATTTAGTTCAATCAAATCATAGATAGTCGGGTTTAGGAAGGTTTCTATCAAGAGAAACTCGTTAGATCGTATTACTCTATTTGCACAATAGTTGGATCATTGATCAGCCGTACCGCTATAAAGAACCCTGAAAATGTGTGAAAAAATAAAAATAAATCAGCCGATAACATGCTTGATCAGCTGCTCCAGATTTAACTGGTTTGTTTCTCTCTGCTAATAAAACACCAACTGATAATTGACCAACAACAGAAAGCAGGATTCAGTGAGAGTCTGACGGGGATTGATGAGCAGGGAGGCCGACAAAGCTGTAACAGCTGGATTCCAAGAAGCAGAGTTAAAAGGAGAAGTTTCTGATTTAACAGCATGGCTACGTTCCAAAACTCACCTATCAGACCGATTAAGGTAGAGACTGGAAGAACCGGATCGAGCGGTTGGAGGATTTCCTGTTACAGGTGAATGTGCTCTGATTGGGATTCTGACCAGGACCCACAGAGCAAGGCGGATACCTGCCCGTGATAGTTGATCAGGGAATGGTTGATGGAATTAAAAGCTCTGGTTGAGCCGCTTTAACGAAGAGCAGCGGCGTTAAAGCCGTGACCCCGCAGCACAAAGCAGTCAGCTGTTCCTCCGTCTGAGGAGGAGGACGAGATAAAAACTGTTAGGGCGAGCCGGACCTGGAGAAGCGAGGGGGTAACCATGGCAACCAGAGATGGAGGGGCACGTGGGACAAACTACAAAAGGCTGACGTGAAGAGTCTGTTCTCCAAATGTAATTATGAAAAGGCCAGAGATGAATGCTGCTGCATCAAAGAGACTCAGTGTGTGTGTGTGTGTGTGTGTGTGTGTGGGGGGGGGGGGGGGGGTTATGCTAAGCTTTTACCTAAAAAAAAAAAAAAAACAGGATTGTTAAATAACTGCAGATGCAAACATCATTGTCCTTTAAAAAAAAGGTCCGAAATTAAATCTTAAATATTTAAATAATTAAAAGGAAAAAATATTGAGTTTATTTCTGAAATATATTTCCTTTCTTTAAGTGTTTTTTTGTTGCTTCATCTGATTGCCAACTGTTAGAAACAGAGCTGTTCTGAAAGAGTCTAGTTATTGACTAATTAGAATAAAATAAAGCTATTTGACTTGATTTGGTCTTACTCATTCGGTATTCGTCCGTCTTTGGAGGATTTTCGTTTCTCTGGGCTGCAGCGCAGAAGCCGCCCACAGACCAGGAGATAGATAGAAGGATATATTTTAGCATTTTTGGACACGATCACAGTAAAATCTGCAGTGCAGGGCGGATGAACTCCGCACCGATCAGAAGAAGCGCTGCCGCTGCCCTTCGTCTCGCCGTGTAATTACATGTGGCCTTTGGAAGGTCTGACCTATGAGCGGACACGACTGCAGCTGATGGCCTAAAATGGCAAACGTAGATTACATCTGCTGCCGAGCGAAAACAGGGAAGATTTTCTGTTGAGGTTTCAGCTCATATGATGCAGAGATGGAGAGCTGCTGTTTGTCCAACAAAATCAAAAGAACTAAGAAGTCTTCCTTTTTATTAATAAGCATCATCATGTCTTCATCCAAATTATTCCCCCCTAAAAAAAAACTGAGCTGATCTCCATTATCTGGGTTAAAGAAACTGCTTTGCACCAAAATAAAAAACACTCAGTAGCTGCTTTTCTTGGTTGAAAGTTGCAGGAGGGTAAAAATAAGAGGTGCAAACATATTTGGTTTGAGGTCTTTAGGAGAAGAATCAGAGCCTCTGTGGGGAATTGAACCTGAAACTGAGAGCATAATCTGCCCAGATTAGAGGAGCCTGTATCTTTAATGATACAGAATCCTGACCGTTTGTGCTATGTTCACACCGCAAGCAGCAGATGCAGCTAATTTACATGTAAAGTCAATGCACGACGCGCATCAAGGTGCAGCAACAGGTCCTGCAGCGCGTCTCAGCAGCCGAAGCAGCGCGTCATGAGCTTCTGAGCATCTGAGGCGAGCAATGCTCTTCAGAAGCAGCAGCTGGAGTTGGAAAAATTGAACTTTAGCTGCTGGACGCGCCTCATTAACCAGTCAGAGAAGCTGATCTGGGAGCTGGCAGGGAGTCAGACACAGCACTGCTGATGCAGAGCGCTATGATCACTCCTCTCAAACAGTTAATTAACATCTAAATTAACTTCAAATGTAGAAACCTGCCGGCTAAATATGTTCAATTTTATCATCCTGGTGCCTGCAGTTTGGATTACATACGCGAAAAATGCATTTCAGCCACCACAACCACTAGCTGAAAAACGCGAAGAGGCGACCGAGCCAGAGGCTGCTGTTGAATGGGATTCCTGGTGACAGCGCACCGCCAGTATGTGGGGGTTTGACCGACTCCGACAGTGAAACAATCTTTGAAGGCAGGATGGTAATCTGGATGAACTGACTGCACAGAAAAAGTTTTCAGGTGGATTTTCTCACTAAAACATAGATTCAAATTACTTTTTACCTGCTGATCACAGCTAATATAGCTGCCATTGAACCAGGAAAAGAAAGGATAGGGTAGCTCCGCCCATCAGACTGACTTTTCGAACGCGCAGCCAGAGCAGCAAAGATAGGTCAGGAAATTGATACTGAATCGAATCTCCATGATGGATGTGATTTACACCGCTAGTTCTGATGCGCGGCTGAAGCAACGATTCTATTATTTTCGATACTCAAGAATACACCACAATACGATTCGATTAATTCGACGTCCCGCCCCCTCCACAGACGCTCCACTGCTCCACTCCCAAATTGTAGCTGACCGCAGACAGGAGGCCGGCTTGTTTTGTTTTTATGACCTGAAATTGTGGAAAACAACTCGTGAAGTTTGACCCGCTAGAAGAGCGAGGTGCGCGAGAACGCTGGGACCCTTTTTCCACCTGGATCTCCGCTCTTTTTGGCCCTCATGTCCCTCCATCGTCGGACTAAACTCGCCCCCACTTCCTCGCCACCTCGGCCGTATCTAGATCCACAGCGTGTAGCACAGACCACGCTTCAATATTGAGCATAATTTAAAAATGTCTGCATCAAGCTCACTGCAACACACTGCTGTAAGAGTATAACCAGGAAGTGAGGTAGGAGGGCAAAATAGGTTTAGCGCCACCGCAGCACGGGAGGGAGAATTACGCCCAGGAGCAAATGGATAAAAATAGACCGGAGGAAAAAAAAAAAAGAACATTAATCGATTCTCTTCCGGACGCATCGATACAAAACGATTATTATTTACACCCTTAGTCAGAACTAAACTGGTACAAGCATCAAAAATTAAGCAGCAGGCATGTTTTTGTTGCTCCTGCTGCTTGTGGTCTGAACGAAGCATTAGCATAAAGTTAGCTCATATGTGAATCCCCGACCATAGAAGTAGGAGGCTGGCTTTGACTAGGCCATTCAAACACATGTGGGTACTTTAAATCAGGCTCTACTTAGCTACACACTTTAGTAGTAGTTTAGATAAATGGTTTAAATTGCAGCTCAGCTGTGAAGAAAATAACTGACCTAAATCTTCGGCACACAGTCATTGTTTAGAATAGATTCCTCTGCATATCTGTGTGTGAAGGCTGAGCTTCAGGTCATAACGTCCATCTGAATGATCCTCATGTCAGTTCACAACAGCTGAGTTCAGAAATCCTCCTCCTGAACATTTCATCGTTTCATCGACATTATAAATAACCAGAAAGACTGTAAACATATGTGATGTGGATTTTTTTGCTTCTTACTGGAAAAAGAAGAAGTTTCTCCTGATTACCTTTTTCCCCTCGCCGTTGTCTGCGCCGACGTAGGCAGGCTTCCTGCGGACGTAGAACAGCATGTCGTCCTGCCGAGGTGCCCACTTCTCCATGAAGTACGTGGAGAACATCCAGGTCCAGAAAACGATGCGGTCATCTTTAAAGCAGCCTGGAAAACGCAGCAAAGAGGCAACGCAGGGTTAAGATGGATGACCACGAAACACAGCAGAGACTAAAACTCTCATTTCAGCTTTTATTAATCAGCATCGTTTTGATTTCTGATAATATTTCAATTCTGTAACCCTTCAGCCATGAACTGCCAGGATGCTGCTCCATCCAGAGGATGTTAATGTTCCTGCTGAGGAAATAAAACCAGGAAACACCTCAGAGGAAAGGAAGCCGCCTCTGCAGGGCGTCCCTCCCTTCATTTAGAATATCTCTGACTAAATCACTTACAAATCTTTCTGTTGAGGCTTTTATTCTGGAAAACGGTACAAATTAAGGCTGTGAGGTCGAAGGAGTCAGACACCAATACACTGATGTTTAATGCTGCTTTGCTCGTCACCTGATTGAGGGCAGTACCTGTCTCGTTACCCGGCAACAGTTGCTAGGAGTCAGAAGGGTGATGTTAACGGTGCTTATCGTCTGATCAGATGCAGAAATTTAGGCTTTTATTGAAGAAAAGAATGAGTGAGTTGCTAAAGGAAACAAAAAAGATTTTTCTGTTGGATCATCTAAATAAGTGGTCCTTCTAATTGTCAATCAGTCTGGTGATATGTTTACATATTTGCTCGTCCACATTTTCACTTACCGGAGTCCAGTCTGACATGGTGGAAAAATTGCAAATCTTCCTTTTGATAGTAAGCTTGTATGAACGATGCAAACAGCAACTTTTAAACACAGCGTGCACAAGAAGAAATGTGCTCACGTACCGCGGGTACAGGGTTGTGCATGTGCATTTTTTAAAGTGGAGAGGGCGGGCCTTTTCAAAAATATGCAAAAAACCTCCACTACACCTTTAAGGCCTGAATATTTAAAGTATCACTGAATCATATTGAGACAAATGTCTGGAAAACCTCAGGAAGGAACCTAGGAAGTCCAGTGATTAGATGTCTGATCCATTTCTGCCGACTTAAGTCGCTCCTGCTGATCCTTGGAAAAGATCCAGAACTTTCAACCAAAGGACAGTACAGGAAAGCTAAAGATCTGCGTTGGTTATTCTTAGCAGGATTGTGTTAAAAATCTAAAACATTTCTTGTATAATTGTTCGTCACTTCCTCTTTTCTTTTTTTATAACGAAGCTTCCTTTAGTCTGGATTAGCAGCTTAGCCTCAGGATTAGCAAATTATAACCTTAATTAGAAGCTCGGGGGGAGAAAAACCAAACCAATCGAACCCAGATCCTGATAAGAGCCGGTTGAACAGCCGAGGTTTGCCATTTTAGATGGAAACCCCACATTATGGGGAGGAGCGGAGCCGAGCACAGGAGAGTTAACCTCGTTATCTTTGATCCATTTGGCTTTGATTGAATAACATCGGAGCTTGAGAAGAAGAAGAAGAAGATGAAGGTGTGGGGAGGAGGATTTCCTCCAAACACTTAGAGGTTTAATTATTAAAATGGAGCTGAAGATGTAAACGGAGAATAAGAGGAAAGTGGGACAAATTTCTGAAAACAGCAGAGATTATGTCCCGATTATTAATTTATATCTAGATCATAGAAATAAATATCTGATTAGGTCGCTATATTAGGAGAGAAAACACCTTGTTTAAAATAATTATTGATTTCCAGAGTGAAACAAAGATGTTCTCAGCTCAGATAACGCAAACAGATTCCTGTGTGTTCAATCTGCTGCTGCTTTGAGATGACCTCTGGCCCTCATCCAGACACACTTGGCACCAAGACCAGAGCCTCTCAACAAGAGCTGCTGCTGAACCCAGCAGGAAGAGCTTCTGGAAAGTGAGAAACAGCGGATCAGGAAGACGGAAATGTGCCAGCCATGGGAAATCGTTAACTCAAGGTCCTCCTACAAAGTTCTGCTGCAACTTTAAACTCCACTGCAGAGCCGCTTCCTTACACAAAGGTCGAGTTTAATAGCCTCAAACTGGTTTGAGATTAAGTTTTAGACAATAAATGTAAAGGTTTAAAATATTTAAGGCCAGGGCAGAATTAAAAGGACCTGAGGGGGAAGATGGAGACCTGAAGAAAGCCTGAAAACGTAAATCTCACAACGGTTCTGCACATCTGTGCCTCTTCTTCCTGCATTAAGCAGAGAACGGCTCTGCAGCAACCTCAGAGAGATCCTGCTCTATTTATAGACTCTGATCCCGCTTTAAAAATACATCAGCTGATGATGAAACTGGGCGCAGCATCATACGTCCCGTGAAAGTGAGCAGAATCACCAAACGACCCTTAACGGAAGCTAAGCACGTCTTCAGCCGCATTCAGAGGCAGCGAGTTCTACGCTCTGGACTCAAAGAGTAGGAACTGGACGGTGGAGAGCGCAGATATGGAGCCTCAGTGGGGATTATAGGTGAGAAGTTCAGAATTCACCTCAAAGAAGGGTTGGAAAGGGAAGAAGAACTGGAACCAGAATGAATCAGAGTGTTTCCATGATGAAGCTGTGAAATGTTCTGAATCCCAATATGAATGTGTGTGAAACTTAAAGAACTCAATGGTTTTCATAGTCATAATCACGGAAGAGGAAGATCAGAGAGGAAACATAAATTACAACCAACATCAAAAACGTCACAAATTTCCATGAACTGCTTGGATTAAATCTAGATCTCATGACTGTAGCTGATTGTTAGAAGTCGACTGACCAGTTAATCCAGAGCTTCAAGCTCCAGTTAAACTCCCTCCTCACCCTATCAGACACCAGAACCGCATAGGCCTCTTCAGATGGAGGAAAATTTGAATCTCCATCACTTGACCTCCCTGACTAAAGCGTGTGACCCATTTGTCGCCTCTGTCATGTGATCAGGCTGAGAGGATGAAGTCATGCGACGGTTCCTCAGGGCGGATCTTGTGCTTTCTGTATGTTTCAGATGACCTGCTGCTGGCTTGGAGAAACAGATTCAACATGAAGAGGTGACATAGATCAGCTGCTTTTCATCTCTGCAGATGATTTCTCCTAACCTGACTCCGCCAGATGGATTTGCTCCGCATATCCATCTGGAAACCTTCCGTTGAAGTAATTTTTGGAAGGGGCGAAAATACTGGTTAGCTGATTGGCCTATGTTGGTGATAGAAAGGCCAGATAAACCAATCAGATCACGAAACATATGACGTACTAACAGAGCGACGACGAAGAGGAGCCAATTGATAGATCAAACTCTTGCTGAAACCAGTCGGGAGAAGAGCAAAAACATCTTTTCCTCTGAGAAAAGCCTCCAGAGCAGTGTTTTGCTCTTCTTTCAGTGAAGAAATACTCTGTAATTCCCATAAAACTTGCCCGATAGCCACGCTAACGCTAGTTTCATCGGCTGAAGCCGCCATGTTCTTTAGACTGAACTGTCGCGCTTCTCGTTGCGTCACACCTCAACCCGCCTCAAAGCCAACGCTGATTGGATGTTCGTTTGGTGAACGGCTCCAAATTTTCTTCAACGGAGAGTCTCCAGACTGATCTGCGAGTGAAACCTTGAAAGCTCTCGAGATCAGGATGGTCTCATGAGGCTAGATTTTTCCCAATCATCAGTGAAGGAATGGTCAGTTGGAAGACTAAAGGGGTTAAAAGGATATTAAAGCTATTAAACCGCCTTCAGCAGCAGCAGCAGGTTGGACTGTTCGCATAAAGCTGGATGGATCCAAACCTTCATGTCATTCATGCTAAATTCTGACCCTATCAACTGAATAATTTTGCTGCTTAAAGGGGAACACCGTTTTTTTTTTACATTGGTCCCTTGATTTTCCGTTATTCCATCATGCTCTACTCACCCATATGAGTTTTGTGTCATTTGGAGCCGTTCTGAAGATATTCCGTTTTATAATCAAGATAACGTCATGTGATTAAAACTAGCAGCAGTTCAGCGGACAGGATGAAGGAATGGTAGCCGGCGTGCATGGATGATGTCATACACGCGCCGCTTTGTTTTTTAAAGATATAAATATCAAAAATCTAACTGCAGATGTCTGGGGGACAGTGATTGGCCTCCATGTTCTGAATGCTGGCGTACCATAAAGAATCAATGATGAACAGTTTAGTTTGTGCCTTCCAGTCGTTGCCCATAGGAAGACGTTACTGGATATAACCTAACGGAATATCTTCAGAACGGCTCCAAATGACACTAAACTCATCTGGGAGAGTAGAACATGATGGAATAACGGAAAATCAAGGAACCAATGGAAAAAAAAACAGTGTTCCCCTTTAAGCCGACAGTCAAAGGACGATATATTTTCCAGGCCAATTTTAGTATTTCGGTCTTAAAAGCAGCCTATATTTCATGATCATAGATGGGATAAGCACCTGGTGGTCGTCTGCTGCTATAGCTCATCTGCTAACGGTTCCTATTAACAGCTGACTTTCCTCCAGTGGAGCCTGCGTAGTTTTCCTTTAATGTTTCCTGATCCCTGCAGTGAAACTTCTTTCATCCAACTCCTTTTAAATCACATCTATGGAAGGATGTAACAATAGATGGCTGGAACCGAAGATAAACTATCTGGGACCAACAGGATGAGGCATCCCAGCAGCTAAACCCAAACAGACTGTAAACAGATGGGAGACTTCCAGCTGGGATGTCCTTCTGTCAGTGATGCCCGGCGGTCAAACCTGCCCCAACGTTAATCAGCTGTGTCACAGACTAAAATGTACCTTCCTGTAAAAAACTCTCCTCCTTTCTCCTGAAATATTCATCAGGATTTATTACTCGACTCTCAGAGAGAGAGAGAAGCTATTTTTACTGCACAGAATCAGACCTCTGTAGATGAGCCAGCGTCTGAGGCGATCTTTTCCCTCAGACAACAAGCTGATGTCAGTGTATTTATAGCCACCAGCAGCGTTATGAGGTAATTAAACCTGAATCATGAAACTCGTCTCCACGTTTCTTCTGGCTGCTAAAATTTCAACCAGTTAAAGCTGGGATCTTTATTTTGAAGAGACGCCTGCAAGTAAAAACTGTCCTGATGAAGAAACCTCTAGAAAATATTATTAGAGGGAACGTTACTGATAGATTA